CAAAGGGGGGCAACTTGGGGTAACTCCACAGGTGACACGTGTATTCTGATGCCTCTGCATGTCAGAACGCACGAGCCTCCTGTTCAAAAGCTGCATGCGATACCTGCGACAGCGACTTGTCTCGCACTTCCCCCACGTGTACTTCCCCGATGTCTTCACGCGTTTGGAGCCCAGAACGAACGGTGAAACACCCATGAGCGGCGTCCCGTGAGCAACGGGACAAATCTGCGTGTTCACAGGTGCAGTGGATGTCAACATTCGCATGTTGCAACATCTCCTCGAAGGCTTCGCGTTGGACTCAGCCCTGGAAACCCCAAACCAGAGTCTGTGGTTTCTGCTTCTGTGGGGACCTGTGGCGGAACATCGTTTTCGCATCAGTCTGCGACTGGAAGCTGGCACCCGTCCTGCAGGTGTCGATATTCTTCCTGAAGACGCAGGAAACTCTCCTGACGTGGAACCGCTCGTCGTTCAGGGCCGTCGTCCAAGTGCGGTTGCGTGACCAAACTCCTATTTTACGGTGGTTTTCAACTGGGCACCTCTACTTGGGATCCAACCCCTCTTTGGGAGAGGCCAGGCAATCTCCCCAAACCCAAGACGTATGCAGAAGGGTTTGTCGGCGGTTCCAGCATGTTCCAGCTGCTCGTTTTTCTCCATGTGAGAAACCTACAGAAACGGCGTGCCGTTGACATGCTCAAATCAGTGGGACCACTCATGCCATACTCATGCCATCCAAGGCCCAGCTGAAAAAACAGGCTGCGATCCACAACCTTATATAACCTTCCGTGTTCAGCACAGCGTTCGGGCTTTAAGAACGACATAATGACTACATAATGACTTGTGCGTCGTCTAAATGAGGCGGGTCTCCCGTTCGCAAAGCTGCTTTCCGTTTTGAGTTTGTTTCTCTTTATGTCCACTCTAAATGCGTAGTGAGTTAACAGGGGGAATGGTCCTTGGAACGCGGATGGTCATCACGGAACCTGAAGGCAGTAAACTGTAAACTCCAATAGAATCCCTGTGTCCGTGTTAAAGCAACCAGGGCACCCTGATGGACTTACAGTAGGTTCTCGGGGGCCAACCTTGGGCTGACCATGAAAGCCTGGGGGAAAGCGCAAAAGTGGCGCAACTAGATACACGGGCACCCCTGCCCAACACTGTACAAGGGAGACAGACAGAAGGGGCACCGATGCGGAGAAAACCTAGCAGGAGAAGGGGCCACCCAAGTCCCTCAACCTGGGCGGCATTGGCAAAAACCTAAAGCCCCAGCCGTCCAAGCAACCACGGCTTGCGCCAGTTGTTGGAAGCAGGGACGTGCTTTGCTTGGGGCGGCACCAACTTGTCATTCTCCCGACATTCCAGCTTTGGCCGGTTTCAAGCCCCAAGAAATGTGGAAAGAACTTGAGAACAAGTTTTCAGCAGTACAAGGGTCTCTGCGGACGATTTCTACCAGTACCATAACTGGGACAATTACTACGACGATTGCAACATGAACTTCTCAAAACGCCGGCCTTTTGGGACAATAGATTGTCAAGTGTCCCGCCAACTTTGCTGCGACCTGTCCCGCCACGCCCTGCTAACGCTGTTAATTGTGCCACCAGTGAAAATATCCTTCTCCAACACTGGCCGTGGAGGAAGAAAAATCTCACAAGTTGGCCCAGCTCACCACTCCCTCTCCCAACTTCCTCGTCCTGAGTCATTCCTCCCAAGCCGCTCCTCCCCACTTGCTTCTCCCCATTCCTTCCACTCTGATCTCTCTGGGCGCCCTTCTCCCACTTCCCTCCTCCCAAGCACCAAATCTGAAAGTGCAGGCTGTTCGCTCGACATCTCTTTTGTGGAATACTGAGTATGGGAAATTTGCTTCCGGCATTCTTTGGGTTTTGGTAACTACATGCAAGACAAGTTTCGTCTTGTGTTCGGGTCTTCAACATCTCCACCAGCTATCCCCAAAGCTTCAGGCTCCGTCCCACGGCAACCAGAAACCTACACTACACTGCTACTCAGAAAATACACCTCAGAATCCCCGAAAGGTCCTACAACCCGAACTAAACGGAACATAAGCAAGTCATAGCAAATGCATTCCATGTTGCCTTTGCCAAGAATGTTTACCTTCTTGTCAAAGATCAGGAAAACAGGTCAAACTCTCAAGCCTGCCCCCCCAAGCCCCAAAACATATTACTTTCACGAAAACGGGCCTACTCAAACCAGGCTTTTCAACTGCTGCGGCTTTACAGACAGAACAGCTGAAAAAGCTGGTTGATGATGCTGACAATTAAGGCCTCTTCGACCTGAGCAGATCTGTGGGGAAACCTCTTGCACAAGGAATCTCGAGCTACTTTAAGAGATCTTCGAGAAGATCAGAAGAATTTATATTAGGAACAAATACCCCCAACAAAAAAGTTCCAAAGTCGCACCAGTCATCATGATATGTGTTTGCTTTATCATTATGATTGAAGTTCCTTTATTCAAAACTTGAGAATGTGAGCGCGGATGACCGGAGCTCTGTTCGCAGTCCCTGTCTTTCCCGCCTCAGTCCGAGTCTGCTGCACGGCGGCCTGGCATGGGCAGGCGTGTCGGCAATGGGTCAAAACCACGGACCAACCAGTGTTTCCCAACAAAAATGAACAGAGAATGACGACTGGATATAGTCAACCATGGTCAAACCTTCCAGGGTTTTGACCCACAGCCATGTGGACAAGCACTTTTTGTTGATTGTGTTGTCCCTGGACTCATGAACTACCCCGAACTGGTCGTGCAGGTCTGCGAAAAGTTCGGTGGGACTCCAGAAAAGGTCGGCTCTACTGGCGGTGTGTATGTGTTCTTTTCAGTGAGAACAATTATGCTTGGATTTGGGGAGGTCTGACTGGACCTGTGTGGCAAAAAGAACTGAAGTTGCACTCCATGAGTGGGGGCTTTGGAGGGCACGAGTTGAGCTGCATCTCAGTTCTATTTGTCCTCAACAATCAGGTTCTTCCCAAGGTGTTTGGGACCCTGCAAGCGCATCCAAGGTGTTTGGAAAAAAAACATGTGGCGATGTGAATGTGCAAAACTCGGTCGTGGCTTCTGCAGTTCTCGCAAGCTCGGCGAATCCCAAAACCTCGCGACCTGAACGATAGGGGATGATAGGGGATGACCAAAGCCGCAAGGAACCAGGACATGCCAAGACCCAAACGATAGGGAGTGTTAACCGACCAAGCACCGACCGAACCTCTAATGCATCGACCCCAAGCTCTCCAAAGAAGTAGCTAGTACCGATGCACTTGCTATTAGTAGCTTCTTGCTCCTAGTAGCAAGGCCAGGAGCCCCTAGTAGCGTCCTTGCTCCTAGTAGCGATGCCAGGAGCCCCTAGTCGCGTCCTTGCTCCTAGTAGCGATGCCAGGAGCCCCTAGTAGCGTCCTTGCTCCTAGTAGCGATGCCAGGAGCTCCCAGTAGCGTCCTTGCTCCTAGTAGGCGATGCCAGGAGCCCCTAGTAGCTTCTTGGTACTAGTAGCGATCCGATGCACTTGTAGCGATGCCCCTGCTACTAGTAGCGAATAGTAGTGATGTAGTTGTTACTAGTTGTTAGTTCCGGCTGTCTGGAAATGTCGTTGGTAGAAACACTTACAGTACGTACTTTGAAGTGCCACGTTCAGTGCCAACTGCGATAGCAACATCAAGTAACCAGTGGCTCGAATCACGCGTGGGACGTCAAAAAAAGGCTTGAAGTGCCACTTCCCCGTGTCCATGCCGTGGCTGGCCATGGCGATTCGGGATTCTTTACACTCTGATTCATCATGAAAGCAACAAATGGGCGATCCTCGGAGCGTCCCTTCGACGCCGTGCCTCGGTGGCTCCTTCCCTTGCACGGCCCCGAAGCGAGGCCAAGGCCCGCGAGAGCCGCTCGCGAGCCGCCTGCGGCCGGGAAGTGGGGTTCGGAAAGCTGCGGAGGTCTTCAATCAAAATCAATAAAATGGATCAAAGATCGGGTGAAAGATCGGAGGTCTTCTGGTAAAACACCTACTGGGATTTCCGGAAAGATTCGATGTGTGCGGGCCATCCTGATTGCAAAATGGGGCAAAGGTTGGAGAGGTTTCACATCTGATGCAGGGAGCAGCAACCTGTTGGTTACAGGTTTGTGACGATTTTCACTTTTACTATGAGACAATCCTGCTGGTCTTCCCCCTATTTTGAGAGAAAAACTACGAAGATGGAAATGCACCAGAGGTTTGCGTCTACCAATCAATGAATGCTGTTTTTTTCTCCCGTTCCCTTCGGTGGACTGTGGTATGTAACATGGACTAGCAAATGGGAGAGGGTGGTTAATGGAGACCCCCGAAAGTCTTCTGATCTGCCTGGATCTTCAGTTGATTTGTCCTTCCACCAACGCCGACTCTCGGCAGAAAATGTTGCGAAAAATCTAGGGGTGAGTGAGATGTCATACAGGTCGACAAATGTACTTTCATGCGAGCACCTTCCAAGGGGTCTCCAATGGAATGCCACTACTTGTGGATCTCCATTGGACACCCCCTTGAAGGTCCAGGTATAGTATCTAGATCACAAAGTCTCCCTATTTCACCTCCACATCCAGATGTCCCGCCCGTCCATCTTCCCCATCTGCGATGCTCCGAAACCACCGTCGCGCCGCGAGCGGCGCTCTGCTCGCCTCATCTTCCGATTGTGCGAAGCGCAGGCGCTCGGCCATGACCTCGCGCTCCCGCTGTCCCAGTTGCCGCTCCTCCTCCAAGGCGGCCTGGACCGAGGGAACGACGAACGCGGAACGAGACGGACCGAAGCAAGGCGCAAGGCCGTGCGAGGGAATGGGTGATCGAAAGGATTCCAATCTGTCCTCTAAGCCAGGATTCCAGGTATGAATGCTGCAGAACTTCGTGCTTTTGCTGCAGATCCGTTCCACAAAGTCCGGTCTTCATCTGTTGAAAGGTCAAAGAGCCCCACTCGGCCAGGTGAAAGCAACCAAGTCCACCAAAGCTGTTTTGTGTATACCATTGTATAGTATACAGTATACCCTATAAGAATCCGGGCCATCAAATGGGAGGGGTTTTGAGGGCCTGGACCCCTGCCATGGAGGGTCGGACCCGCGGAGGGCCCAAGGATTCTTACTGATTCGAAGAGGACAGGCACTCGAGCATCTGAGCATCTGATCAGGCTTTCTGGAAAGTTCGAAGAACTCTCCCAAGGGACTTCCCACTGGCACAGCTCTTTCCACTGCTTTCTTTTTCATCGTGCCATTCCCGGCTTAGAAAAAGGGCTGCGACTACGAAAGAATGTGTCAGGCTCGGGTCACATAGTTGTACCGATCGAACAACTCCTCTTCCATTTGATGCCTCTGCCTTGTGCGGATCGGTGAAATTAACAGCAGCAGTCATTTCGCCACTAGGGGAGGACAACGGGGGAGGACAACTAACATGTGGAAAGCAAAAGCTGAAAAGGGTTCGAAACTGCGCCAGCTGAAGCTGCTCATCATTCCAAGCATAGCATTTGGGAACTTCGCTGTTCCCTTTCAAGGACTTCATGAAAGACTGATCTGCCAAGAGCTTCGGGGCGGCATACGCAATTGCGCCAGGCTCTTTTTGGCAGCTGATTCCTTGGATTTGCAGCTGGATAGAAGATAATTATACAGAAAGGTCAAGAAAATAACATGCAATTCTTCCTCCTGCTTGCTCATTGGTCCATCTCTTCCAGAATTTCAATCCACACTCTTCACTTCGTTCACAGCGGCCCACATCCGTTGACCCACCGACACACATCGGCCGACGAATCGGAACAGCGAAGGTGACAAGGTTCTCACCACTTCTCGATCGCAGCGCACGTCGGCCGAGAAGTACTTCAGTGACATGCCTTGGATCCACACGGCCGACTTGGCGAAGGTGCGGTCCACGGTGAGCTCCTCTCCTGCAGAACTGCGGGACAAACCCAGTCCCAACCAGAAACAAATACTTTCCCCCCAGCCAGTTCCTATGTAAAGGATCTACTGTATATTGGAACAACCAGAACATACCAGAACTGTTTCTGGTTGGGACTGGGTTTCCAGGTCCGTCATGGCAACTCCGGAAAACCTTCCGGACCAGCTGGGTCAAGCTCTGGAGTCGTTCTCTTGGTTTTGGACGGGTCCACGCGCGGTTCGCGCGGGTGGGAGGAAAGAGCTGCGACGGAACCCAGAAATTTCATGGGGCCATGGCTTTTGGACGAGCCAAGTCAACGCTACTAGGGGCTCCTGGCCTTACTACTAGGAGCAAGGACGCTACTAGGGGCTCCTGGCATCGCTACTAGGAGCAATCTTGCTTCTAGTATATAACAAGGGCATCGCTACTGGGAGCCAAGTCAACGCAGATGGGGGATGCCCAACAGGAGACTTCGTCCCTCGAGCTCAGGTCTTGCCCCACCAACTCAGCACCGCCCAAGACAGCTCTCTGGAGTTAATGCAAAAACTGGGTCGGAGCCGATGTCCGAGAATCTTGAATAGTTGCAAGAAGCTACGAGTAACAATGGCATCGCTACTAGCAACAAGGGCATTACTACTAGTTGCACGAAGCTACTACATCCAGGAGTCCGCAAAGAGTCTTCTTCTTGGTCTCCAAGAAGTGGGAGAGGTGGTGTTGGTGGCTTTGAAGGGTTCCACGACCCTTTACTATACGATCTGTAATCCAATCGAAATCCTGGTTTCTCCCCCATCAATCCGATGGTCACGTCTCCTGCGAACTCCATGGCCCGGACCTCTTGTGCCAACGCGGCCAGGACCACGAAGGCGTCGCGCCGCAACTTGGCCGAAGCAAACTGCAAGGCCCTCCAGTTCTGCTTCACGGCTTTCAAGACCAAGGACGCATCCGCGCGGATCTTCTTGGACATCCTCGGGCACACATGCATTTCTATAAGTGCATGTTTTGATGTGTTGATGTGTGTGGCTTTCTTTCGGCACCAGGTGGCACCGTGTCTGGGCCCGGTGAAACAGACTAAGTGCCTAAGTGCTGGAGTCCTGCGAGTCCTGTGACATCACAAGACTGCCTTGTTGGATCTTGTTGGTATGGGTATGGTTCCATTTAGAGAGCTTCTTTGGAATTCGGATATTCTCCTTCCCTCAACGATCGCACAGGTCGCTGGCACAGATCATACACAAACCCAGGTGTTGTCGCTCGATGTCCAATTCTGGTAAAAGGACCCCATTGACAACTCTCCTCTGCAACAAGGCATGTGGTCCCGTGTGAGAACATCATACCCTGTCCGTTCCGCGCAATGAAACCGACTGCCACGGATTCAAAAAGGCCGCCCAAAACCGCCGGCCACTCCCCGGAAAGAGCATCGGTCAGCCAAGCATCCCCTGAAGCTTCAGGCCATTGGAACTCAAGACCTTCTCCGCCAAAGCGGGATCCGCCTTCAACTCAGGAGCTGCGAAGTCCCAAGCTCGCCAGTCTTGCTCCATGCAAAGCATCACCAGATCTTTATCCGCACGCAGCGAGGCGGACGCATACTGCAATGCCTTCCAAGCCAACTTGGAACTCTTTAATTCTTGGAGAAAGACACTGCGCAACCTGTAGCGCTCTAAACATTCCACCAGAATCAAGGACAGGGATGGAGACTTTGGTAAAGACTTCAGGCTGGCATAGTCATCAAGGTCTTTGGAATCCAACAACAAGCGCTGTCGATCTGGTTGAAGTCCGCAAGAGGCCTCGATCTCTCTCTTCACATCCCAAATCAGCCAGCTGCGATCAGCTGTCATGCGGCAAACCTCACCACCAAGATCACTGACTGAGATCTCTACTGGCTCACTGGTCTTCTCTGCCTCGTCCTCCTCTTCAGAGTCCTCCTGCCATGAGCCACCTATGAAAACAAAGTCCATGTCCGAAGGGACTCAAAAAACAAAAGCAATGCCGCCTTTCAAGGCTGGGAAATCAGTTTACCAGCATGCGAAGAACGCAGAAAAAAAAAAAAAAATACACCACCTTCAGGCATATCAGGCATCTTAATCATCTCACCACCCCTGTCCTCTGCCTGACCTTCGGGTCTTCGACCCTTCGCCTCACACGTTTCGGTGCTCGCCGTGGAGGGTGCCGAGGTCGACGGGGGCGATCTCGGCGGCGCCAAGCGTTCGCACTGCTCCCATTTCCTGCAGCGAAAACAGGCCGTCATATCGAGGGCTTGACCCTCGGTGACAAAATGTTTGTGCCGAAAGAAGGCGTAAAAGTAAAAGTTGAGGAAGAAACCCAAAAAAGAGGTCAAAGCCCAAACACAATTGCCAAAAAGGAAGAAAAGGGGTGATTCTCCTCATCAGCATCAGAAATCAAATAAATCCGCCAGGTTTCGCTTGGACTAATAAGAAGAGCAGCTGGGCATGCGCCTGTCGGTGTGAGCAGGCTTGCTTGTCCGGGTGCAATTCCAGCTGCAAGGCGCGCAATCGCCCGCGGCGCTCGGCATAGGAGAGCCGGTCCAGCTGCCTGACGAGCGTTGCAGTCAAAGGCCACTGGATGTCCGGATGTCCGACCAAACGGGAAACATGAAACCCAGTGGATCTCAGATGTTGGTGCTTGTTGGAGTAATAGTGCACGCAGCAGCTAGACTCCAGTCCTGCACTGTTCACCCAACCCCCTGACGATCAAAAATAACTGGACGAGAAGAAGATGAGGAAGCAGGTTCATCACGATCCCGCGACCGCACTTCACAGTGAGACAGTGGCGTCTTGCCTACCACTCGCTTAGCGAGGGCAACTTTGTTTGCGCCAGTACATTTACTTCGAGGCAGGTTCGCGACACGATCCTTCCATCTCCATCGCCGATCACATCGCAAGCACAACAACCAGCCTTCATCAGGAGATCCGATCTGTTTCCCGATTTTGCGGTTCCAATGCAGATGATTTCAGTGGATCTCATCTACATAAGGAGCCAGGGTTTTGGTCGGTCTACGGACTTGGTGACCTACCTACAGTGATAAGGATTTGGCTCCACGGGGAGAGGGATGTAGACCAGGCCCCAAGGGGTATTTATTGATTGTCCCCTAGAGGTCAAGGGGTGTCCACCCCTTGTGGGTTTTTGGGGGTCAGTGCCCGGTACCATGTTCCTATTGGTGGTACACGAGAAAAAAGGTGTCTCCCCTCTATTGGGTAACCCAAAAAAAGGGCCACCCAAGAGGCTGTGAAACTCGTTCATCACCCGAGGACGACCGTCCCCTTTTTGGCATCCCAAAGAGGCAGATGTCATAACACCCCTACATCCCTAGGCCGTTGGTCCGATCCTATCAATGATTATCCATGCCTTAGCATGCCTGAACTGATTAGGGCCATACATCTGACTGTGAAGATGGTCGTGTTCGGGGGTTTAGGCCCTCATGAGATGTCTCCTTTCAGCGAGGGTTTCTCGTGGGTGGCGGAAGCCTTCTTTAGCTGTCCGACATGGTCGATGTCTCCGCCTATCAGGCTATCGTGGGTGGTCCTTCTCGTGCACTACCCCATGATGTGTCCAGGTGATTTTAGAAGTGGTGTAGGTCCACAGTAGGACCAGTAGAGAAATTACTTCACTTCGAGTAGTCCCCACCATGACATGTCAAGTTCAATCTGCATGCATTGAAACATTACTTCGGCATTGTTTCTGCCATATCTTTGACATTTTCCTGACTTTCTTGTTCGCATATCTTCTGACATTCTTTCTGGCATATCTTCTGACATTCTTTCTGACATCCTTCCTGGCATATCGTCTGACATTCTACCTGGCATACCTTCTGCATATCTTCTGGCATTCTTTCTGATATTCCTTCTGACATTCTTTCTGGCGCTCTATCTGGCATATCTGCTGACTCGCGGTCGAGGTCCTGCGGGGAACACTGCCGTCACTGCCGTCCCGAGCTGGCGGTTGAAGTCTTTCTGGCATTCTTTCTGGCATGATATATCTTCTGACATTCTTTCTGACATATCTTCTGACATTCTTTCTGGCAAATCTTCTGACATTCCTTGCATATCTTTTGACATTCTTTCTGGCACTCTTTATGGCATATCTTCTGACATTCTTTCTGGCATATATTTTTGCATTCTTTCTGACATTCTTTCTGGCATATCTTCTGGCGTTCTTTCTGGTATATCTCCTGACGTTCTTTCTGACATTCTTTATGGCAAATCTTCTGACACTCTTTCTGGCATATCTTTTGACATTCTTTCAACTTTTCTGACATTCTTTCTGGCAAGTCTTCTGACTTTCTCTTTGGCATTCTTCTCCGCATACCTTCTGCATATCCTCTCACATTCCTTCTGGCGTTCTATCTGGCATATCTTCTGACTCGGGGTTGAGGTCCGGCGGGTAGCACCGCCGTCCAGAACTGGCGGTTGACGTCCGGCGGGGAACACTGCCGTCCGGAGCTGGCGGTTGAGGTTCGGCGGGGAACACTGCCGTCCGGAGCTGGCGGTTGAGGTCCGGCGGGGAACACTGCAGTCCTATACTTGCGGTTGCGGTCCGGCAGGGAACACGGCCATCCGACACTCGCGGTTGAGGAGGACGACAAGGAGAGGCGAGGACAGGCGAGGAGAAGAGAGGAGAACAGCGAGGCAGCTAAAATAGAATCTAACGACCCTCATCTGACAGGCGGGGAAAACACAAGAAACATCAAATCACACCAGGTCCCGATGCTGATCTCATGTCAAGACTTCCTTCTGGGGTGTGGTAGGGCTCTCTAAATGCTCGTTCCGGTGTGGCTTCCCAAAGTAATTAGCATGCTTTCACGGCCTTCTTGGATGTGGCTTTTGCGTGGTTTTGCCCCTTTTAGTGGGATCGGTCAGAAACCTGCTCCACTCGCCACTCAACTAGAACAGTCGACTCCAGAAACTGCAAACTTCTCCGCAGGGCGAAATGAATCCTTGACGTTTCATCTGCAACCACTTGGGAGGTGGAAGGAGGTATATAACAAGGAAAAGTCGAAAAGTCCATCAATGTTCATTGTCTCGACTTTGCATGACACCAGGTCTTTCTTCAGTCAAACCGACACCTTCATGGGATTGTGAGTCTTGGTCGAGAAAACTGCTGCATTCAGAGCTGCCTGAGCTCCAGCAAGAGGTTTCGGCGCCGTTCTTGCGCCCACTGATCTGCTTCCACTGCGGCAGGATCTTTGCCTGCGCGCACCAGTTTTGGGACTTCGCCTCAAGATCCGAATCACCGCGTGGCGCGACACGTGGTGCGACCGGCAAACGCCGTGCGGATGAGTGACGAGCGGAACCGAGCGGAACCCACGAAGCATGGATTGATCAAGGGGTCAAGATCAAGGCGCTACGTCTAGGCAAGGATGCCTGGAACCTCAGTGTTCAAACCTCTGTATACATAATACATATCACATATTGGTTTGCAATGTTTGCAATAGTTCATGCACCCAGGAAGATTAAGATGGAACCTGAAAATGGACCCTACAGTGGTTTTCGGGTTCCATGCGGCTCTCTTCCAGGACGTCCATTCCATACCTATCCTTAAAACCGTTGTTCATCGGCGGGGCCTCTTGCAGGGGATGGGTTTCCCATCCTGGGACCCGCCGAGATGGGTCTCCCATCCTGGGACCCTACAGCCTGGCGGTTGATAGATCTCACTGTTGATACGTACCTTCATACCCTCCAAAAAGAGTTACATAGTTGTACAGTAGATGTATATATACCTAGAAACCATTTGACCACAGTTGTGATAGGAAAAAATGATTTTGGCTAGGTGGTCTAAAGGTCTATAGGTATTTATATGTTGCGTGCTGTTCTGGACTGTATCCCCAACCACTTCAAGTCGAAAGGTGCTGCAATCTTGCATCCATCGCATGCTGCTCAACCGGCTACCAACCATGTATGTGCCAGCCAAAAAAGGAACGAAGCCCTATACCTCCGTTCCAACAGCTTTGGGCTCACCGACCTCACCGAGCGAGCACTCTCCGTGTGCGAGTGACTGGGCTCGGCGCTGGGCGAGGGCTCCTGACCCACCCGCAAGAACGGCCCGCGAAGCCGCGGGAGTCGGAAGAAGAACACTGGTATTGAGGAATTTGTCAATATTCTAATTCTAACTAATAGCAAAGGCCTCCAACCTAATTGTATTGGCCTCCAACCTACTAGCGATGGCCTCCAACCTAGCACAACTGGTATTGAGAAAGTTGCTAAAGGAATCGGCTGTCCAAATGGGAAGGTTGACACAGTGGCTTAGAGAACCCGCACACCGATCCTAAAGACCCCTTTTAGTCTTTGAGAGCAAGCCAGTGTGGTACCAGGCCAATCTCAGAACCACGACTGCAATGGGGTTGGGATTTCTATTTTCGACATATTCACATCAGTTATTGGCCCAAAAGGACCCCCTTTCTAAATGCTTCAGAGCTTGACCAACTCTTGTTACCTGGTAACCGTCAATTCATCATGATGTTCACACGGCCATGAATCTGCCAGACTGATTGGGTGTATATTAAAAATAGGGAGACCTCCCAGTTCGACCCCCTGTAAAAAGGAAAAATTCCCAATTACCTGAATCTTATCAGGACGAAACCTCAGGACGAGTGTCTTGGGCATTTTCCCAATCCAACCCACCTGGTTTCATACAGTATCCGTGAAGTCCACGGTGCAAGGGCGTCGCTACTAGTAGCCTGTAGTAATGCCCTTGTTACTAGTAGAGATGCCCTTGTTCCTAGTAGCAATGCCAGGAGCGCCCCTAGTAGCGTCCTTGCCTGGGAATTCTCCAACCTCTGGGGCCTACATCTAAAGAAACCGTCGTCTCGTTGCAGCGAATGCACCGTCGGGTTCGTCTCATAGAGATGGAAAGAGAATACTCCCTGCAGGCTGACATATCTAACATGGAAGTGGATGGCATAGGCCCCTTGGAAGGCCATTTTAAACTCCACTTCCATGAGAATGACTCGGAGACTCCCTGCATGCGAACCCATGGACTGTGAATTTTCATCTACCACCCATTGGATTTCAGGGTCCCAACTAACTTCGAAAAGATGGGTAGGCTCCCTGAAAAAATCATAGAAGTGGATGGGATGCCCCCTTGGATTACCATGTTCCGAATGCCAAAAAGGTGGTGAACTCCACTGAACAAAAGAGAACGCAAAATAACCAAAAGGGAGCGACTCAAAATGTCCGGTCTTCAAAGAAGCATCTGTCATCTGATTACATCTGTTTATTGGCCAAGTCCTTTTCACTGAATCACTTTGCAGCCCTTTTCCTTATTTCCAATCGGCTTATATCGGCTTATAGTTTCTCACTGCATTTGTATAAACATGTATAAACTGTATAACCCTGACTCATCGCCCCATCCAGGCCTCGTCTGGCGCCTCCTGCTCCTCTTTCTCGCCCTCCTCACGCTCCAGTCCGTCGCCCTCCTCCGGTCGGGCGGACTCCCTCTGCGGTCCACCCTGCCCATCCAGGCTGCGGGCCACCAAGCCGAAACCCCTCGGCGTCTCGCAGAACTCGCAGATCATCCGCAAGCGCGCGTTGTCCTCACGCGAGCAAACAATCGAGGTGGGGAGGACGTTGCGAAACGAGGGGTGCTGTGGAGAATAGGGGGATTAAGGGGAATGTCGGGACACTATGCATCAAAAACCAAACAAATGATCTTTTGGGTGTTCTTACAATTCATGGGATGGTTTTCTGCGCCACCTAAAACGCCTCGTCATATTTTTAGAGGTTGGAAAGACCAGGCCTAGAGAGGGGACATCGAAATGCAAGGAGCAAATAAGTCCCTCTGGTATGCGTGGTGACTGGATGGTGGTTTAAGCCGTGTGAATTTTTTTTTGTATATATATGTATATACAAAGAGGCTGAAAAGTAAAGAGTAGATGAAAACACCAACCAGGTGAGGATAGCAACAATGCATACAGATTTGGTGAGTCCACAAAGTACCCATGTCCATTCCAGAGATTTTCTCCCGCAGGTCGTCCCGGAATACGTGCCCAAAAAGAAATAAGCACCCGGTGTCATCGGATTGCGAGAAGACATCAATATCACACCGATCATCCCTCACATCCCGTTGACATTAAATCAATAGATTGAAAGTTGTTGCAAATCTGCTTCACTTGGAACTTCTGCGGACCCCCTTGGCAGGCCACTGCTGCCAAGAGTCGGATCCACATTCTTTGCCTCAGCGAAGGGGGCCCGAATGGTAGGGTAAATGAGCCTTTTTGGGCGGGGTTGAGAAAGGCCGGAAATCCCAGAAAAATGGGTGTCAAAGCCCTGCGTACGTACCTTCCATGCAACAACGAACGTGGAACATGGCTCTGTTTTGAACGCGTATGTTCCTCTGCGAAGTATTGTGTGGGGGTCATCCATTTCCACGATTATTGCATGGAGGGTATACCGTGAACAAATCAACCGAAGAGTGATTGAATAGAATTACTATATTGTATTGTGTGAATGAGATCATCGGTTGGACCAGTTCACATTACCATGTCGTCCGCCACAAACGTGGCTCAAGATTCTTCACGGGCAGTTGAAAATGAGCCGCAATGGACCGATTTTCGTGTAGACCCACTACCACGGTCTAACAGTGGTGGGCGCGCAGATGTCGCAATCTCATCGACCTGGTTCCGATGCGCACTCCGCTATGCCGCTATGCCTCGAGGATCTGCGCAGTCGTCGCCCACGCACGACACAGGACGTGATTTTGCTGAAGCTCTAGGTTTCTCTCAACCTCCGGCCTTCCAGAGCCCGACAAAGACCGAGAGAGTGAAACTCCTTATGAACTACTGCAAAGGCAGTTTGAATGTCACCGATGTCAAGGAGCTTCTGGAATGAGGAGGCTGAATTAGACTTCAAGGTGGGAACCAAGGACCTTTCCAAAACCCATGACAAGAAAGGTCCTACCTAGCGTTCCTTCAACCTGGGCAAGTTGTTTACTTCTTTCGCTGCGGCGCTGACACCCAGAAGAAGCCAGTGGAATTCCACTAGCGGGGTCCAGCCCAGGTCGTGCTGGTCGACGCCCCAAACACGATTTGGCTTTCCTTCTGAAACACCATCGTGAAGGCTTCACCAGAACGAGTCCGACCAGCAAGCTCGGAAGAAAACATGTCTCTACCTCTGTGGCTTGAAGGGCTCACAGAGCTTCGAGGCTGTATCATGGACCTCATGGGCGAGACACCACCAATGCCAGAAGAGTACGGACCAAACTGGTCCAGTGAAATGATATAGATTGCCTCCGATGATGATTCCGAAACACCTTCTGAACGAGCAACTACAACAACCCGAACAAGAACCACAATTTCCATCGCCTTCAAAAAAGGTTCACCAGAACCTCGCGTCAGGAGCCTACAACTCCTGGACTTGGAAACTGAAGAAATCTGGAACACAAAGGGCGACCACATGTGGGATCTCGATATGTCCTGACCAAAAAGCTGCTGCGGGCAATCTGACACCGCTAAGGCCACGGTTGAAGAGCTGCTTCTTCATGACCCAGAACACGCCCCAGTTAAGGCCGCGTCACCATGCGATGTAGGTTTTTTCAGAGCCTGAAGCACTTGAGGTTGCTACAACAACACCTCAGGTTACCCGGGGCACCGTGGTCTTCATCGTGCAAGTGAGGTATTTGGACTAGTTGTACTCAACCCCAAGAAGGAATTCCAGGGGCCCACCCAAACAGCTCATCAAACTGTTGAAGCTGAAGCATTGTTACAACACACAAGTGGCAAGCGGCGCGAGCACCTTTGCAAATATTTAACATCCAAAGGATACATCCAGTCATGGCTTTATCCTTGCTTGCTTTTCCTTTTTGGAAATGAGTCCAAAGGTGACGGTCATGTCCTTCACGGTATTCTTGGAATTGCGACTGGTGTTTTCCGTGGTGGTGATTCACAACGTTGGTCAATCATTGAGCAGATTTCCAAGGATTACAAACTTGGTAAGAACCAAACCTTCAAGGTCGGACGTTTTACAGGCCAAGACATTGCTCTCTGATGGGTCGATCTTTGGTAGAAGACAAGGTCCACGCAAGTCCTTTGGGCAAAAACAGTGAGCAACAAAGATTCGCTCGATGTACTCAAAAGGTGAGATTGAACAACTTCGAGGTGCTCTAGGTACAGTGTCTTGGTTGCGCAAGGAAACAAGAATTGTTCTTGCAGGCCGCGTCGCGTTTCATCAGAGTTTTCCCAATCCAAGAGTGAAAGACTCGAAGCTGTGAACAACCTTGTTCACAAGGCACATGAATTCAATCACCTTGGCATTCTTGTAAGGCCGACTCACATAGAGAACCTTCGAGTTGGAGTTGGCAACGCCTTCTGGGGCAACGCCAGGGAGTCCACCATTGGACTCGAGGGTGAGGTGAAATTAAAGTTGCTTCTTGGGAAGAAACTGATTCAACATGGGCCCGACATCATATACAACCATGCGCGCAATACATTTGTCCATCCCAGTTTTTGCACCGATGGCCCTAGCCTTCACAACTTACAGAGAATTCGGGGGACTGGAAGAAACAATTTCTGGACAACAGGATCCATGCCGGATCGACACCGCTTGGAACAATGCTGACAGTCTCCGCAGCACTGAAGAAACCTGGACCAGAAAGACTGTCTTTCAGAAGGCATCCAAAAAAGGCTGAAGCAATTCCCGCTTCACAGGTTCGCAATAGCGTTGAACAGCAAGAGTGTCTGAGCATAATATGACATAATGACTACTTCACAAGCTCCAACCTCAGTGACCCTTGCATCGTGGAAAACTAAAAAGCTATCCGCTGAAAAGGAAGGTTGTGGCAGAGAGCTAAGCTTTAATCAACGGAGCTGGCGCCGTCAACTATCATCGACTTCTTCTGCTTGAAGTTTTGAGCAGCACTTTGACGGACACCCAATGGGACAGCAAGCTTGAGCAAGCTTGAATTTCCTTGCACTTCAGTGACAGATAGCAAGCCTTGAAGGAAGATTTCTGCCCCGCTTCGTTGTTCAGTGGCAAGCGTGCTGCCATTGACATTTCGGCTTTGCATGATGAGTTCAAAAATCAAGCTGGCATGATCAGGTGGATCGACACAAGGGCAATGATTTGCAGGTTCATTGGCAAAGGAATGTAGTCCTGCATATCTTCGCCACATAATGCAGAAGGGAGACTGGGCACTTTTTGAAGAAGGAGTCTCGCTCCAGAGGAAGGCCCTGGAGCGACAGATCTGGTCCAAAAAGAAAGCTTTACCGGTCTGTGAATAAGATCATCGGTTGGACCAGATCATGTTACCATGTCATCCGCCGCAAACATGTCTCAAGACTCATCACTGCCAGTCCAAAAATGAGCCGCAATGGGCCGATCTTTGTGTAGACCCACTACCACTCTAACTATGTATAAAAATAATATATATATATATGATCGAGGGTCCTTTAGGTATCATTTCGTAAAAAGAAACAAACACAAATGATTTAATTTTCAATTCAAATATTTATTGCAAAAAGCATTTGTAAATTAAAAATTGATAGATTTTGATGTTTTATTTATTTTTTTTAAAAGATTTATTTAATTTATTCAATTTTTTAAATTGTAAATTAAGTATATTTAGAAATTAA